GGGGGGGGGGGGGGGGGGGAGGCTTCCAATCAATCTTTGGGAGTCGTTCAACATACCCTAGACACCAACCCTGAGGCCTAAACCCCTGAAGCTCAAAATCCTACAGGCCTGAACTCACGGAGCCCATGAGCCCTATGCTCTCAGCTCCTCAACAACTTCGACTCAGGGCCATTGAGATTTGAAGTCATTTTGGGTTTAAGGGCCTATAGGGCTTGGGGCCTGAAAGGTTTGGGGTTTAGGGTTTACCGTAACCTACCAGAACCTATCTTTTTCTTTGGACCCCGGCAAATTCCAGATTAGGGTCAAACAAAAGAACCTACAAACGAGCAAGATTGTTGGTGGTTGCGGGGTCTAGGGGTTTCAGGGCTTAGCTTCGCCTCCTATAGCCCCAAACCTATGTAAACTACCGAAGCCCCCTGGACCGATCCCGAATGCCCTGCTTGAGCCTGACCCAGGGCATGGCACTTGAAGGGCAGCTGCACCATCGGGGCTCCAAAGTTCACCTGTCGGCCCGGCACAGGCTTAGAGTGGAAGCCATACAGTTGGAACATCATAATCATCGTGCCCTGAAGGTGAGGCACAAGGGATCCTAGCTGTCAACGCGTAAAGCTATGGTACAAAGTCCCCGGTTCCTTCAAACATGGAAGTTGTGTGTCTGAGAGTGTCAGGTGGCAACCATGGTCAAGAACTGCAAGGAACATGTCAAGACAGATCAGCTATGGGAGTTTCAGAAAATTAGGTGTACCTTATTTTGGGGGATCCTATCATTTAGGGTACTATATCAGGGTCCCCTATTTTCGGAAACCACCATATATTCCAAGGCTGTACTACAATGTTGCTTGCTTCTGAGACCTGGGCACAGAGGTTTCACACGACGGAAGGCTTTTGCAAGATTTCTTGGTGGAGACCGGAAGCCCTGAACCTTTCAAACCAGCCTGCACGGTAATGTTCTTGAAGCACAAGTGCGGGTAGAGAGCCTTGCCAATCAAGCCTGGCGAGATCTCGGAGAAATGTCACATCCACTGACTAAGTTGAAGTTTTGTAAAACGTCAAGAAGGTTGTGGGCTAAGAGGTTTTGGTTTCAAGGTCCTGTGGTTCACAGCTAGGGTTTTGAAGGGTTGGGCTTTACTCAAACGATGCATCGTGATCAGCTCCCAGTTGCTGTTATGGAGGCTGGAAAGCAGAAAAGGTTCCACACGTGACAGTGTAGGACATGCTACTTGATGCCAGAAGCTGTGCTGAGGTTTAATTGCGGCAGGATGACCTAGCTGACCTAGCTACCTTTGGCATAAGGAAGTGAAGCGGCATCTTCCTCGCTCTGCATCATGAGCAGCATGACTACCATGTGCATGATGACTTTCCTCATCACAAC